GCCAAGAAAGTCAAAGAGAAGGAAGACGAGAAGGAAAAACATTTGGCCAATGGAAAGACCACCACTGTTGAAGGTTTATCATTTGGACAAAGTGCCGGTCTTAAGGTAATAAAGAATACAAAACTTACGGCTACAAATTTGTGGAAGAACATATAATAGTTTTTAATTTTTTTTTATTTTTTAGGACGACCTGGACGTCGACGACAACGATGTTGGAGAAAAGAAACGTTTGGCCTTTTTGGATCTACTTTTAGAGTCCAACCAGAACGGAGTTGTTATTTCTGATACCGAAATCAAGGAACAAGTCGATACCATCATGTTTGAGGTGAATATATACAATGATAGAGTTAATAGAAAATTAATTAAGAATTTATTAAATTTAAATAAAATATTGTTTTAAATTTTTAGGGACACGATACGACTGCTGCAGGCAGCAGCTTCTTCTTGTCTTTGATGGGAATCCACCAACACATCCAGGTAATTATGAATGTTATTATAAATACATATATATATATATATATATATATATATATATATATATATATATAGTATAATTTATCCTTTTTAGGATCGTGTTATCCAAGAACTAGACGAAATCTTTGGAGACAGTGACAGACCAGCAACGTTCCAAGACACTTTAGAAATGAAATATTTGGAAAGATGTCTGATGGAGACTTTGAGGATGTACCCACCAGTACCAATTATTGCCAGACAAATTCAGGAAGACTTAAAATTGGGTAAGAGAGTGAAAAAAATAACTCTGCAGACATGGAGGTTTAAATAAAAATTCTGCTATTATTAATTCTGCTAAACTAATATAGATAGAGTTTTGAAATTTACACCCTTAGATTAGTTGTGAAAAGTTGTGTTTTCAGAGTACCCACATGCCAGGGTTCAAAACAAATTCTGGCATGAATGTTGGCACACATACAGCGTCGAAACGTGCACAATAAATAGTTTACTATTTATTTAGACTATTTGGTAGCATATAAACAATACATACTATTTTTTTCTTTTAGTTTCTGGTGATTTCGTTGTTCCTGCCGGATGCACAGTCATAGTCGGAACCTACAAAATGCACAGAATGCCGGAACACTTTCCGAATCCGGACGTGTTCGATCCGGACAACTTCTTGCCGGAGCGAACTGCCAATAGGCACTACTACGCCTTCGTACCGTTCTCGGCAGGGCCAAGGAGTTGTGTAGGCAAGTACACTTAACAAATCTTGTAACTTTTAAACCGATTGTGCAAATTAAATGAAACATTCGACAAACTTGTCCAACACAATTGTCTAACACCATAATGACTCGGTATCCCTAAAACTTGGCCTAACCGTATATGTTCTTTTCCTCCCCAGGTCGCAAATATGCGATGTTAAAATTGAAGATAATCCTGTCGACGATCCTTCGTAATTTCCGCGTCCACAGCGACTTAACCGAAAAGACTTCAGGCTTCAGGCCGACATCATCCTGAAAAGGGCCGAAGGATTCAAGGTGCGCCTGACGCCCCGGAAACCCGGAAGCTCCGTCAGGACTTTGAAGGCGTAACCGGAACAAAAAGACATCGGAAGTGCGAAATGGACGATGAAATTGATACGAGTATATAGATATATATATATGTATATGAAACAAATTGAATAAAATGTTTTATTAAGGGTTTTTTATCTAAAACACAAATTCGTAGCTGGTTTTGTAAAGAAAACACTTGAAGAAGTGAATTGTGCACTTTGTGCAAAAAATCAAATAATGTAAATGTGTATATAGACTTGTATCAATTTATTCCTTTTATTTATTCAATCATGAATTTGTTGTTATTATTGCGAATTTAAATAATTTTTCTATCATATACATTTTTGCATGTAAGTAATCCATGTCGAGAGGGATGTTAGGAATATTTTGTATATTTTATTTAATTAGTAATTATTATTTTTATTTCATTTGTGTAATTTGGATGAAATAAATTTATGTGCGTATTGAAATTTACAAATGTTGTTTTATTAATTAAGTTTACATGTATATAATTGATAAAGACAATCCAGATAATAAAAATAGAAAGAAAACTATGCTAAATTAAACTGCTGCTAAACTGTTGATACTAAAAACTGTGTTACCAGTCTATATAAATACACGTTCTATGCTCTATGTTTATTTTCTGTTGTAAATATTTTTAAAATAAATCAACAGTCAGTTCTGTCAGAGACTTGGTTCAACAAGTGTCTTTATCGTAATAATAATTGCCATTTGTCATACATTTAAATAGATTTAAAGTTAAAGTGTGTTTTGTGTGAAAATATGATTTGGGTAAGTACCAAACAAATGTTTTATATTTTAATTTTAAGGCAAAGTGATTCATGTTTATGTATTTATAAATATTTTGGCAAACTGTTGGGCATAATTCTAAACAGATATTTGTTTCAACACATTGTGATATTCATTCAGGTCCAAAATAATGATTAATACATAAATTTGTTACATTAAGCGTCAAAATTGAGTTATATTGTTTAAGGTTAAACGTCAAACAAATGACAAACGTCAAACGTCAAAATTGACAGTTGTTTTCATGTTAAAAATGTCTGTTGTGACAGTGTTGAATATAAAATTTTATTTGTAAATAAAACCACAAAACTTAGTGAAAAAAAACGTGGATGGAAATATTTCAAAAGTGTAAATGCTTTTTTTCATTGTTCAAACAAAAGGTTTGTTTTTTATATAAGGAAATACGTTTTTGAATACGTCTTATTTGAAAACAAATAATTGTGTATTAATTGTCGTGTTAATAATATTTATTAAAAGTGCAGTTGTTATTAATAATTCAATATTTACATCATACAAATGGATCAAAATACATAAATGCTCTTTGTAAGTAATGTTTTTTTTTTAATCATAAGTGCCATTATTAATTAAATCAATTAATTAGTTTAATTGATGAAATAAAAAATTATTGGTTTGTCTATCTATAATGTTTATTGAAAAATATTTAGGAATTTTCACAAAATTAATTACCAACATTTTTTTTAAAATATTTGAATATTTTGAATATTGTTTATTCTGGACATTTTCTATGTTTATTTTAGTATAACTAGATAAAATTTTGCTAGAGTTTGCTGTATATTGTTATATTCACTTTTATATTAAAATTCTGAATAATTGTAGTTGAAGCGCAGATTTGAGTTTGATAATTGGCTATAGGTGGATTATGGACATTTTTACATTTTGTCAAATAACTTTAAAACTATGTTCAGAACATGTTTATTTGTTTATACTAGTATAAACTAGATGGAATTTACTAACAAATAGTATAAATTGTTTTATATACTTGCGTATCAAAATTTTGAACAATTTTCAATTGAAACGCAAATTTAAACGTAATATGTAGATTTGGACTTTTTTTACTTTTCTTCAAATAACTTTTAATTTTTTTTTTGGGCACGTTAATTTGTTTACATTAATAAACACTATATCAAATTTACTAAGTACTAAAATTTCGTATAATTTTTAACTGAAACGCGAATTTGTGTCTGTGTACATTTTATCAACCAACTTGAAAATTTTGTTCTAGGCATTTTAATTTATTTATATAAGTAAAAATAGATAAAATTTAGATTCATAAATCATAAATAATATTAAAAGCAAAGACTGCTATTCATGATTTTGTTAAAACTACAGTGATGATATCAAATTGTTCGATTATAATAAATGATGTATTTGAAGTTGAATCCATGGATACTATCCATGGATTGTTTTAAGAGCTTTTTTTTAACTTTGGAAATGATATCAAGTTATTCGATTAACATAAATGATGTACCTACAAATTATTCAAATGTTTTTATTTTTTCACCGAGTTTTTGTGGTTTTACTTTCAAATAAAATATTCAAAGCTTACTTATTGTTACTAGTCTGGTATTAAGTAACAAGTAATCTTATTTTAAATGTATATCCTTAGAATGAATATTTATTCTTTTCACAGGTACTTATGCACTTATAGGAACAGGAACCATAAAATCTGGGTCTCCCCTACACTAAAGGACATTTATGATCAAGAACTTATTGGACAAAGTTTTTGGATGATTTTTTATTACACCAAGGACGAAATCATCCTGTTTGATGAGCTTTCAGGGCATGTTCCACTGGAAAACAACAAAAACTTTGGTTGCAACATCGGAATTTTAGCAAAAAAATAGATTTGTTTTCGCTATTTTGGAAATGTTTTGACTGATTCCAAAAGATTTTCGAACGCTGATTTCAAAAATGCTATCTATTTTTGGATAAACCCACATACACCCCCCGAAAAATCGAAATCTTTGGTTGCAAAATCGATTTTTCTTTAAAAAAAATCGGCTTTCTTCGCGATTTTCAAAATGTTTTGATTGGTTTCGATTGATTTTGGGACGCTCATTTCGAAAATATTATCCGTTTTTGGATAAATCCACATACAACCCCGAAAAATCAAAATCTTTGGTTGCAAAATCAAACTTTTACTAATGAAATGAAAACTTTTTTTCGCGATTTTCAAAATGTTTTGACCGATTCTGATAGTTTTCGAGGCGCTGATTCCGAATATGATATCAGTTTTTGGAAAAAAAAATTCTTCTGCCCTTGGTACGAATTTGAAGTTTGAAAAATCGCCAACTTTGAAGCTGATTTTAACTATGAAGACGATGATAAATTTGTAATTTTTTGGTTTGGTATAAAGATTGTACTTTAGTCTACACAAAGCATTAATTAAAATTATTACTTTCATTCATTAAGGGCCTTAAAATTGCATTTGAAAGTCACGATTTTGGCCAATTTTGGCTGCTCCTGATAGACTGTCTTTTTAACGAAAAAAAAATAAGATTTTTAAATTACACCAAAGTAGGTTTGGTTTACTGCTAACCAGGCGTGAATATGAGTTTATTCAAAATTATCTTCCTCCTACTATTTCTTATCTTTTATATATTTATATATATATATATATATATATATATATATACATATACATGCGTATATATATATATATATATATATATATATATACATTTATATTTATATATATGCACATATATATTATGTCGATTTTTGTAATGCTGACACTCAATAAATTTGATTATTTATCTATATTTCTTATTTATTTACACAGTTTGAAAAATTATTGGCTCCAAATATTTTTTCAGTCAAATGGGGTTCGATCTGTCGATCCTCGAATTGCTATTCTGGCCTAAACCGTATCTTTACGACCTCGGCCATTCGCACATTTGACACAGAACATTTTTAGGAAACTTATATCTTTCAGTTTGGAAATAACACTTTATATTTTTACAAAAGACTACGATTTTTTAAAACCAATTGGCCGAGGTCGTTAAGTGACCACTACGGTTTCTCAGCGTGTCTCGGTTCGATTCCAGAAGAGGCACAAAAAATCGAATGTATAGTTTTTCATAATTATCAAATATTAGTTCAAAATATTAAATTCAGGTGTCGCATTTCGACCTTGACACTTAGAATATTTCTGAAAAACAAAAAACTCAAGTTTCGTACTTGACTGTAAGAGAGATACATGAAGAGACAAAAAAAAAAGAAAAAAAAAAAAGAGAAGCACTGGGGAAAGAGAGGGGTAGAGGCAGATGATGAATAAGAGAGATGTGTATGATACATATTCTTTATTAAAATTCAATATTAATATAATATAGGAATAAAAATAACTTTTATCATCAATAACTTAAATAGTCGAGTGGTTTAAGGGACCGCATACTCGGTGAAATCGCTCTGGAGGCAGGCACAAGGTGAGACGGATCGAATCCGGCTGAAGGCGACGACAAGGAACTCTGATGCAGAAAAAATGGAGCAGTGCTGGTGAACGGCTGTTGGCGAGCGCAAAGGGTCCTGAAACGAACACACCAAGTGATGGTCAACCAGAGGTCCATGATGCGAGAGGTTACACGCAGAGAGACACATTGCGGAAGATGCATGCCGAACCCAGAAATCTACCCAAAAACCGCAACATGCGAAAAAAACAACACCAAAAAAGGAAAAAAAAATGTGAAAAAAAGCGAAAAAAAGGGAAAAAAAGGGAAAGAGGAGGAGGAGGAGGAGAGGAAGGGGAGGGGAAGGACCTAAAAAAACCCCTTAAGTCCCAGGTCAATTTTTCTCTTTCTGTTCAGCGTTGAAACTTTTTTATGTTTTTTAGTGTTCCCTCACACCAATTTCCAAAGTCAACACTCGAATGAAATCAAGTCCACGTTGAAATTTTCACAACGAGAAAAAATTACTGGGACTTAGTTAAAATATTTAACTTTGCCCCAATAAAATTTTCTCGTTGTGAAATATTCAATGTGAGCCTCATTCATTCGAATGTTGGCTTTGGGATAATACAGCATGCAAAAATAACTCGTCTCTCTTAATTGAAAAGGTTTCACAAAATTTGGACTTAGAAAAAAAAATTATCTGAAAGGACTTAGAAAAAAAAAAAAATTATTCGAAAGAATTATTCAAAAAATTTGGACTTAAAAAACAAAAAATATCTGAAAGGACTTAGAAAAAAAAATTATTCGAAAGAATTATGATCAGAAAATTTGGACTTAGAAAAAAAAAATTATTCGAGAGAATTATTTACTTAATCGAT